GCGCACCCCACATTGCCGGACTTCCGATGTTGCACTCCGCCGTGAAACTTCGCCTATTTTTTCCAAATTTGAAGCCCCAGAAAAACCACAAATGCAAATTTAATGCAATTCAAGACAATTGCAATTCCAAAACTCCCTCGGGGGCTCCCCTCTTCCCCTTGCTGCGCACCCTGCAGTGTCGATGATCGCTACACGCCAGCTGGCTGCCGCTCTTCGCCTCTCAATGAGATCCACCCAAAGCAGCCTTCACAATTAAAGTTTTAAATTGAAATCTTTAAATTATTTCAAGCAAAATGGCATTTTAATGCGCACTCGAGCTTCACACTTCCCCCTCTTGGCCGGCTGCTGCAGTGCTCCAGCCCAACTTCGCGATTAGCTGGGGCTGCCGTGTGCGCGCTCCCCATAGTCCTTTAAAGATCATTTAATTAATAAAATGAAATTTAGTGGTTGGAATTAATTATACTTTACTCCAACGCACTTACCCTGCAGTCCATAGAGTCCTCGGAGAGTCCTCAGAAACAATTTGCCGCTGATTTCGAACTGAAGGAGTCCAGCTTTGCGGCCTCCAGCCCCCAACCCCCACCCAGCTCTGCATGCAAGAGTGTCTCACTTGCATGCACTACCCAGGGGGGCCCCCAGGGGGCCCTCAGTGGGGCGAAACGCCCATAACTGGCCCCATTGGGGCCCCAGAGTTAGCGATTTCGGGCTTTGCTGCAGCCAAGCCATTAGTATTTTTGATGTAAAACCCACGGGGATGAGTGGGCAAAAAAGGTCCTTTTGCGGCTTCCAGCTGCTTTCGCTGCTGCTGGCAGCTGAGCTGCTGCAGCACAAGCAGCAGCACTGCAGCAGCAGGTGCAGCAGCAGCAGCGCAGCAGCCACGAAGAGACGCAGCAGCAACACTTTCCCCTGGCCCCCCACGCAGCAGCCACAGAAACCCCAATGACTCAGAGCATATTAGCAACTCCCAAAGGACACAGTTCGAATTCTTTCTCCAGAAAGGACTTAGTGAATATTGGCCTTTTTCAAAAAGTGCATATTATCCACTTTAAAACAACTAAAAACACATTAACCACCTTCTAGAAATATAAAAAGCATTTTTCAAATTCACAACTTCCCGAGGACTTCGTGCATATTTGCTGCTTCAAAGAACTAATTGCATATTAGCTGTCCCAAAGGACTTCTTGCAAATAAGCGAGGGCCCCAGGGGGCCCCCCTGTGGGGGGCCCCCTGGGATCCCGCAGGGGCCCTAAGGGCCCCCAAAGCTTGCCTCTGGGGCCCCTGGGGGCCCCGGGGGGCCCCCCCGAGAGTCCGCAGCAGAGAAGCTGTTTCTTATTATTGGGGGGTTGAGTGGAAGCTGTTATGGGGGCCCTTTTAATGTTTTAATTTGCCTTTTGAGGTCTTATTTGTGTCACTAGGGGCCCCCCAACTGGCCTGCTGCTGCATGCTGGGCTGTGGCTTTCAAAAGAAAAAAGAAATTGAGAAATAGAAATAAATTTTGACCAGCAGTGGACCACTGGTCAGCCCCCAGCGCCCAAACAGAGGCATGCAAGTCTAATGCACTTTGTGGGACTCCAAGGGACCCAAATTGATCAAATTCTGCACTAAGTTTGTATTTTTTATAATTGAACTGGGTTGGTATTTTTATAATTGAAAAAGAAAAGAACTTTTGACAAAAAAGCCTCTTAAAATGCCCAAGAAAAGCTCATAGAGTGTCCAAAAAGGCACTTTGTGGGGAAAAGAATTATCCAATTTCTTTAAATGTTTGAAACAAAGTGTTATTTTAAAATGTTCGAAGTACTTTGGCCTTTTTATTCTAGTTCATTAGACCCTACAGGACACTTATAAAGGGCCCCCAGACCCACCCGCCAGAGAGGGCCTCGCCAGCAGTCTCAGGGGCCCCCAGACTGGATACAGAGAGCTCTCGGGGCCTCCAGAGGGCCCCCAGGCTGGGTAGAGAGGGCCCTGGGGCCCCCTACGGGCCCCCCAGGCTGAGTAGAGCCCCTGGGAGCCCCAGGGGCCCGCTGGGTTGGGTAGAGTGCCGGGGGCCCCTAGGGGCCCCCCTGATGGATAGGGTCCGGGGGGCCCCTAGGGGCGCCCCAGGTTGGGTAGAGCCGTGGAGGCCCCCAGGGAAACCCTGGGGCCCCCTGGGGCCCCCTGGGATGCCGCCGTAGCTCTGCTGCAGCCAGCTGTAACTGAAGCAGAGCTGTGGGGCCTTCAGCGGAAATAAAATTAATTCAAGAGGCCCAGAAATGGTTTATTAATCCTTTTAATTTAAAGACAATGGTCCCACAGGGCTGGGCGGGGGGCCTCCCAAGTAAAATGCCCAGCAGCAGCCCCGCTGGTGCCTCTGGGGCCCCCTGAGTTTGCCTTCAGCAACGCAGCCGCTGCTGCAGCAGCTGCTGCAGCTGCAGCTCTGGCCGCAGCTGCAGCAGCTGCTCCTGCAGCTGTTGCTGCAATTGCTGCTCCTGCAATTGCTGCTGCAGCTGCTGGAAGCGCTTTGCTGCTGCTCTGCGGCTTGGCAGCAGCAACAGCCCTGAAGGGCCTCAGCTGCTGAGGGTTTGGATTTGTTTATATTCTGCTGCTTAATTGGAGCTTAATAATTATCAAAAACCAACAAAAATAGACCAAAAGAAATACTTTTTCCTTTCTTCTTTTTCATTTTTTTGGAAAAATGGACATCAGGATATTCATATTCACTGCTAGTCCGACACTCCAGTTGCAGAGTTTTCATTGTAAACTTAAAACAAATTAAATAAGTTAATTCCTGCAGATTTATTTGTTTAATTTATTTTGACTGCAACTGGAATGATCTTTTCTAATTAATTATTCTTGATTTAAAACGAATCAAATAAATTAATTTCCGCAAACTTATTCATTTAATATATTCTGAAATAAAAATAATCACTAAAGTTGCAGTGATCATTCTTAGTTTAAAATGAATTAAATAAATTAATTTGTGCAAACTTGTTAATTTAATTTATTTTGAATTAAGAAAGATTACTCAAGTTGCAGTGATCATCTTTAATTTAAAACAAATTAAAACAAATTAATTTATGCAAATTTATTTATTAAATTTATTTTTAAATAACAGAAGATCACACCAGTCACAGTGAACACTTTTAATTTAAGATAAAATAACTGAATCAATTCATACAAGTTTATTATTTAATTTATTTTAAACTAAAAAAGATAACTCCAGTTGCAGAGTTATCATTTTAAATTTAAAACAAATTAAAATAAATTAGTTTCTGCAGACTTGTTTACTTAATTTTAATAAATTAGTTTCTGCAAACCGGTTTGTTTAATCTATTTTAATGTTGAAAAATTTCAAATTAAAATAACTAAATTAATTTCTGCAGCACTTTGGAAAAGAAGCTTCAAGCTGGGGTCAGGTATTACCTGAAGAAAGATGAAAAGCTTGGCAGCAAATTGAAAAATAAAAAGCAATTTAAGCAGATAAATATACTTTTTAAAGATTTTTAATTATTGATATGCTGCTGCTGCTGCTGCTGCTGCACAAACTCTGAAAAAAATTCTTTTAAAAGTTTCTTGTGGCCCATAAGGACAGACTTTCCGCAAAAGTCTAACGCGCAGCTCTTACTAGACATTTAAGCCCCTCTGCTGCTGCTGCTGCTGCTGCTGCTGCTGCTGCTGCTTTCGGGTGCTGAATTGGCAGCTGGGTGAAAGCTGCTGCAGCAAGTGCGCGCCTGTTTCCTTAGGGGCAGTTGGCTGCAGCCCCATGGCCCAGCAGCAGCAGCAACAGCAGCAGTGCCAGCAACGGCAGCAGCAGCAGCAGGAGTATCAGCAGCAGTACCAGCAGCAGCACCAGCAGCGCCAAAAGCGGCAATGCCAGCTGCAGTACCAGTTAAAACAGCAGCAGCAGCGGCAACACCAGCACAGGCCCCGTTCCATTACCACTTTAACGCATAAGCGCTGCAGCAGCAAAATGGCAGCACGAGCAGCAACTCGAGCTGCTGGCGCTGCAGCAAGATCAAGCAGCAGTGGGCCCCAATAGTTGCCTGACCGAGTGCTGCAGCAGCAGCAACGCCAGTGCTGTTTGCTGCTGCTGCAGCAGAAGCCCGGGGCGGCCTTTTTGCTGCAGCAGCCTTAGAGTGGGGGCCCTCACAAGCTATAGGGGCCCCCTGGGGGGCGCCCCAAGATCTTGCTGCTTAGCCGAGTCATGCCAAGGCAGACTGCCGGGCCCCTTAGGGAATGGTTTTGGCCCCCAGGGCCACCTATGCTGCAGGGGGGCCCCCGAGCCTGCGGGGGAACCCAGTGGGGTACAGGGGGCCCCTGAAACTGCAGGGGGCCCCCCACGTTGCAGGAGGGCCCCCTAGGCTAGTGGAGGGTCCCTGGGCTGCAATGGAGGCCCATAGACTACAAGGGGAGCCCACAGCTGCGTAGGGATCCCTAGGTTTCAGGGGGCCCCCTCAGGCTACAGGGGCCCCCAAGGCCCGTGGAATGAAGGGGGGCCCCCTGGGCTGGAAATGGGGAGCCCCCTAGAATATTAGGGTGCTGCTGCTGCTGAAGGAAATTTGGGTTTGGGTCTTCCTGGCTCATCACAAATAAATAAATTGCTTTCATGACTTTTAGAGAAGTCTCTTAATTCAATATGAAAGAAAGAAGAGCAACCCGAGCTCAAGTGTCGCTCTTCAGCAGCAATGGCAGTAGCAGCAGCAGCAACACCATGAGCCGCGACAGCAGCAGAAGCAGCAGCGGCACGGCAGCAGCAGCAGTAGTTGCTGCGGCAGCAGCAGAAGCAGCAGCGGCCGGAATACTGCAGCAGCAGCAGAAGTGGCTGTGGCAGGAGTTACAGCAGGAGCGGCAGCTTCGCTGCTGCAGCAGCAGCAGCAGAGCAGCAGCAGCAGAGCAGCAATGTTGAAACACACGCTGGAGATTGAAAGCAACGCGTCTTAAAAGGCTCTGCATGCACAGAGACAACAAAAGGCCTCGGGGGCCCCACGAGGGCCCCCAATGCCAAAAACGGAAGGGGGGACCCCCTAAAGACCCAAAGTTCTTGGGCTGCGGCTGCTGCGGCTGCTGCGGCGCTGCAGCAGCAGCAAGAGCCACCGCAAGGCAGCACCCGGCCAGCGCTGCTGCCCTGGGGCCCCGGGGCCCCCGTGCCTGCGGAGGCCCTCGCCAGGGAGGAAGCCTTGCTGCGCTGCAGCAGAGCTGCTGCTGCTGCTGCTGCTGTTGTGTGCTTCAGGATTAAACGACACTAGCTGCAACAAGCACTTCTTCGGCTGCTGCTGCTGCTGCTGCAGCTGGAGCTGCTGCTGCAGCGCCCAGGGGTCCTGCAGCCGCTGCTGCAGCTGCACGTGGGGGGCCCCCCCCGCTGCTGCTGCTGCTGCTGCTGCTGCGAGGCCCGCCGGGGGGCAGCTTGTGCAGCCGTGGCAGTAGTCAATGTCTCTGCGGAGTTCGGGGGGCCCCCAAAGGGCCCCGCAGCAAAAGAGGCCCACAGAGACAACTAAAGAAGCAGCAGAGGCCCCCAGCAGTACCCTTATGGCATGCAGATCACTAGAGGGCAGCAGCCAGTCCAGGGGGGGCCCCCCATGGGACCTCAAGCTGGCCTGGGGGCCCCCCCGGGGGCCCACGCTGCAGCGCAGCAGCATCAGCGAACACACGAAGCAGCAGAAGATGCGCACGCCCTGCAGCAGCAGCTCCTGAGACACAGCAGCACATGCAAGGGGCCCTCACACTTACCGGGGCCCCAGAGTGCCCTGGGGGCCCCCTTCTGGGGGCCCCCTCCTGGGGGCCCCTTCTTGGGGGCCCCC